TTTCCACACGTAAAAAAAAAAGGCTCTTCCTCCCCGTCTCATCGGGGGAAGAGGGTGGCCACGACCTCGTCCAGGAAGGGCGGGTCGAGAGTCTCCGTCGTTGGGGGCGCCCCACTGCACAGCTTATCCAATGTTTTTACTGTCGTTCTGTTGATCTTGTGGCCCATGACATTGAACACCTTTTTGTGGAAGTCAGAATCGGTTTCGTTAATGTTATTATTGTTGCTATTTATATTCCCCCAAACTCCTCGCCTGACATCTACGAATCCCACTGTATTAGCATATTGGAAGTATGGCGCTCTTTTCCAAATGCTAAAATAATCATTCTGGGTGATTTTAACTTGCCAAATGTTAACTGGGATTTAAATGGTCAATGTGTCTTTGATGGTTCTCATTCAGGAAGGGCTAACGTTATAGCCGAATACTTTAATATATGTAATCTTCGGCAACACAACTTCATAAAAAATAATGGGGGCCATACACTGGATTTAATATTTTCATCCTGGGCTGACCTTCGTGTTTCTTCCGCCCATGAGTCTCTTGTTCCTTGTGACGCTTACCATCCTGCCCTTGAGTTCATGTTACCTTTTAAATCTCCTGTCCGTCCGGATACCAAGTCTTCAACTAAACTCTGCTTTGAGCGTGCAGATTACTATGCCATAAATAACTATCTTGGCCTTATAGACTGGGATCTAGCTACATCAGAAATGTCTGTCGATGAAGCGACCGAATTTCTTTACCATCACCTGGATTACTCCATTTCTAAATATGTCCCCTCTCATGTATATGTTAAATCATCCTACCCTACTTGGTTCTCAAAAGAACTTATTTCGGCTGTCAAGGCAAAGAAGTTGGCTCATAGAAAATACAAATGTACAAACTCGTTCGCTGACTACCTCGTCTTCTCTCATCTTAGGGCCGAATGCAAAACTCTGTCTTCCACCTGCTGGTCAAATTTTATTGATAAAACTGAATGCGCGTTGGCGGAAGACTCCAATCACTTTTGGAGATTTATAAAAAATGTCAAAAAGTCAGAGCCTCAGGCCTCTCATATTTTACACGAAGATCGGTTGCTTAGTGACAATGTCTCTATTGCGAATTGCTTTGCAGATTATTTCGAGTCCGTCTACACTAGCAGTGAGACCGACAGCGCTAACCGGGTTGATTCTAACCTGAATCAACCCTTGGACCTTTTGTCTCTAGACATCACTATTAAAGAGGTTTACAACGAGATTGATAACCTTTCGTCGAGATGCGCTGCTGGTGTGGATGGCATTCCGCCAGTGTTTCTTAAATCCTGTATCTTTATATCTGCAAGAATTCTATGGCTTATTTTCAGTCGCTCAATGAAAGATGGCATTTTTCCTGTACGCTGGAAGAGATGTCTTGTTTCTCCTATTTTTAAGGGGGGTGATCGTCAACTGGTCTCTAACTACCGCCCTATCTGTAAACAGAGTATCATGCCAAAAATCTTTGAAGGCATCATTGCTAAAAAACTTAGCTCACTTTGCAAAAACGTTATCATTGCTGAACAGCATGGATTCATGCCTGGTCGCTCTACAACGACCAACCTTATCAACTACTGTTACTATCTAACATCTGCTGTTGAAAATGGATCTCAAGTTGACTCTGTTTACACCGATTTCAGGAAGGCGTTTGACACCGTGGATCACATTATTTTAATTGAAAAACTTCGGACTCTGGGGTTCGAGGGCTCTCTTTTGCGCTGGATATTGAGCTTTCTCTCTAACAGGACTCAGGTTGTGAAATATTCTGACTGTCTATCTAGAGACTTCCTTGTCGCGTCCGGTGTGCCACAAGGCTCTCATCTTGGGCCACTCCTATTTATTCTATTTATAAATGACATTACTAATTATTTTAAATACTGCAATTTTTTATTATATGCTGACGACCTAAAATTATTTAAATGCATTGACTCTCCTACAGATTCACTTTTATTGCAGCAGGATCTTCTTGCACTTGAGTCTTGGTGCGAGAGAAATCGTCTACGGCTTAATGTCTCTAAATGTTATATTGTTCGTTTTACACGAAAGCGTGACCCATATCTTTTTAACTACATGCTTGACGGTTCACTCCTCACAGCGGTCGACACAATCCGTGATCTTGGTATTTTATTCTGTGATAATTTAATTTTTAACAAACATATGAAAACCATTGTTGCTGCTGCAAATAAAACTCTCGGATTTGTTCTCCGCTGGGGCAAATATTTTAAGAATGTATGCACGTTGAAACTATTATATTGCGCACTGGTTCGTCCTAAGTTGGAGTACTGCTCTACCGTGTGGTCTCCTTATTATAATTGTCATCGCAACCTGATCGAGCGTGTACAACATAAATTCTTGCGTCTAGCCGCTTTTCAAATGGGCGTTCCAATGGCGATCACCTGCCACAATTACCACCCCATATCCAACTTAATAAACATACTCTCTCTAGAGAAAAGAAGGCAGTTATTTGATCTTACTTTTATTTATAAATTAATTAATCATCTTATCGACTGTCCAGATTTATTAAGTAGGATTAAATTAAACGTTCCATTAAGGAACCTGAGGCAATACACCATTTTCCATGTTGAGCCTCATAGAACTGAATATGGAATAAATTCATGTATCTCCAGGCTGGTGATTTCTGCGAACCATTATTCTTGTTCTATCGACTTTTTCGGCAACAATCTATCTACATTTAAGTGCAAGCTTCTCCATCGACTCACATAAAAAATTTTATAATGTAATTTTTATAACCTTATTTTAATCACAGATTCGTATATGTTAAGACGCCACAATTAATTTACTATGTTAATTCACTGATATACTATGTTGTTTTATTTTTAATCGTATTTTAATCCAACGAGATGATTTTGTTCTCTTTTGTATACTAAAGGGTTATCCCCGTTAAAGATTTTATTTATTTATTTATTTTATATAACTATTTTGTATGGACGCCCCCACGGGTCGCGGTCCAGTGAGAGGACCAGCTCCTCCCACGCTCTTTCCTTGGCCCTCCTGACCGCGACCCTCAACTCAGCCCGCCTTTCCTCGTATGCCTCGTGGAGCTCGTCCAACTCAGCCATGGAGGGGCTGTCCCTTCTACGCCTCGCCCGCTGCAGCGCCCTCCTGGCTTGGACGGTGAGACGCCTCAACTCCGCGATACCTTCCGTCCACCATTAGGCGCTGCGTCTGGGCACGTACCTGGCCCGGGGCATGGCCGCGTCACACGCTTTAGTCCTAACGCCCCGAATCCAGGCCGCTTCTTCCTCTATGCTCATGGGCCCCGACCCGCGCACCCAGCAGTCCGCTACGAGTGACGCCAGGAGCCGTTCAGGGTCCATCTTCTTCATCGCCGACCCTCCGTGGGTCCTCTTTCGCCTCCGTCTGAGGTGCGCCGCATCTCAACTCAACCTCTATGGGCAGGTGGTCGGAGAGTATATCCAACTCCTCCACCACCCGCCACGAGGTTATCCATCTCGAGGCCGCAGGGGAGGTCCACGTTAGATCGATGATGGACTCTCCCTGCGGCCTCACACACGTGCTGGTGCTGCCTCTGTTTTCAAGATGCAGCCCCAGTCTTGCCGCCCATTCAACTATGTCCCCGCCCCTGGCGTCCGAACGCCGGGAACTCCATACTGCCGACTTGGCATTGAAGTCCCCGGCTATAAGAACAGGGGCGGGTAGCCAATCCTCGATCAGCTCCTCCATGATTCGGAGCGTGTCTCCGAATTCCATACGGGAGAGGCTGGGGCGGAGGTAAACCCCCAGTACTATCAGGGGGCCCCACCTCACCGCCACCCAGCCCTCTCCTTCTCCTATTTTATTGGCCGATGTGTGGTTTTGTCCGGTCCTTCTCCAGGTGATGGCCACCGAGCCGTCCCGCCTACCCGCCCAGCAAGGGTGGCTCGGAATTCTATTTGGCTCGGAGGCCAGTCCCAGCCCGCAGTTTCGCTCCGCCAGGCTGTGCAGGAACAAGTCCTGGGCCTGGCGGGAGCGGGCAAGATTCGCCTAGAGGATCTTTAGGGCCGTGAAGGCGCCTGCTCCGCGACCTCCTCCCGGCCTTCTCCCCCTCTATGTGCCTTTTCGATGGCACATTCGTTGGTGAGCAGGGACTCCACCTCCTTGTTCTGCCCCGCTCTTCCTTTTAACCTCCTCTTTGTCTCTCCTCCTTTCCTCCTGTCGGGCCTTTTTCGCGGCCTTTTTGGAGAGGGGGGCGCATGCGTTCCCTCATGCTTTGTGCCTGCCAGGAAGGCCTCTGTCAATGCAGACCCTGCATCTCGGGTCCGCTACGCATCCCGGTGCCTTGTGGCCCTCCTGGCCACATCTGTAACATACCCCGCTGCGATCCACGGGGTTCCTGCAGTTTTGCCGCACGGGCCCCCTCTCCAGGCACCTGAAGCAGATAAGGGGACGGGCTTCTAGGAGCTCGACTCTCGTCGACGCCCATCCCACTCGTATCCTACCTAGGTCGGCCACCCTCTGGATCACGGTTAGCGGTCCCTGCACCCATGCAGTCGCCATACCGCTGTATGTCTTCCTCAGGTGGCCGACTCTGATATCCCCGGTGTCACATTTCCCGGCACGGGCTACCGCCTCCTGCACTTCCATCTGCGACACCGAGTCGTTGAGGTCTTTGACTCGGAGTTCCCCGAGCTTGGTGGGCCTCGACACTCGCACCCCCTCCTTGTTCTTCACAACCTGGCGGATTTCCTCCGCCAGCTTGTCTGCTTTTTGCGAGCCCTCGGCCCCCTGGACCTCTAGAATCAAGGCCCCCGTTGCGGCTTTCCTTTGCCTCAACGGGCCAATTCCCAGAGCGTCCAGGTCGACCTTGGCTCGTATTTCGCGCCTTCCCTGCGCTAGTTCTCCCGCAGGGAATTTTATCGCAACCGCCTCCGTCCTTGGCGCTCTGCGCCTTGGTTTCCTGGCTCTCTTCTTCTCCTCCTCTTCACCCTTGGCCTCTCCCTTTTCCTTTTCAGGGGGGGACCTTGTTGGCGTTCTTTCCCTTTGTTGCCGGGACCGGTTTCGCCTCCTCTCCCTTCTGCCTGTTCTTGGCCGGTGTTTTGGCCTTTTCGGCATAGGTGGATCTCGTGGCCTGGGGAGCCTCTCTCATCTTTTTGGGCTCTTCCCCGGCTTTCGCTGGCTGCGCCTTTCTCGGGAGACTGTTCTCTCTCTTCCGGCTGTTCTCCTTCTTCCTTTGCCGCTGTGGTTGCTTGCTCGGCCCTGCCACTGATGTTGGTGGCCCAGTTTCCTTGGTCGCTTTCTTCTTTCTCGGCCCAAGGGGGGGGTTCCTCTCTTCTATGACCCCCTTTTTCCCTCCTGCCGTTCCTCGGGTTGGGTTGTCCTTCCCATTTTTCCTGGGCTTTGCCTGCACCTGCCCGCCGATACCCTTCTCTTGTTTCCCCCCTACAGGGAGTCTAGCCATGGCGCCCTGGCATCTGAGGATTACATCCTCAATTTTCTTTCTCGCTGCCAGGGCGTCTTCCTCTTGGGTGATGTCGGTGATTGATATCCCCTCCATCACCTGCCTCATCCCTTCCATGGCGTCCTCCTCTGTCTCCGCAAGGGGTCTTCTTTGCCCCCTGAGTCTTGGTTGGAGTACCGTGACCTCTCCCTTGAATGTTTCCACCCTTCTTACGACGGGTCCTTTTCCCGTCACTGTGCGTGTGCTTGTCAATGGCACCTTTCTCTTCGTTTTTGCCTTCTTGTTCGAGGCGCCTTTTCAGGGGATTTACTGGGCCTTTGGCCTTTCCCCTTGGTTTTCCCACCTCTCCGTGCTCCGCACTTATTGGGGGCTCAGGTACGGCTGCTTTTTCCGCAAAGGCCGCCACCGCCGCTCTCAGGATGTTCGTGGCGTCTAATAGTGCCCTGACGAAGGTGCCTTTAAGGTTGCCGGATCTCCTCGCCACCTTCTCAACAATGTCGATACTCTCGATCATGTCTGCCGCCAACTTGTCCGGCGGGAAGGTGACGTATTGCGCCCGCAACTCCCTCTCCGGAGTTGAATCCCTCACACGGGTGCGCGGGGGGACCCTGGGGTCCAAAACTTCCTTTTTGGCCTTCTTAGTTTTCATGAGGGCCCTTAGTTCCCTCTTTTGTGCCATCATTTCTCTAGATAGCACGTGTTTGCCGCTCACAATCGGCCTTCTCCTCTTTGGCAGCGTCGGGCCCACGTTGCGGCTGTCGTCGCTGTCTACTATCTCCGGCTCGGACATTTCTTCTGCCTCGCTGGGCTCGCCGTCGACCTCTGTATCCGTGCCCAACAGGACTTTTTCCTTCTTCAAGGCCTTGGAGCTCGACGGTCCCGGTCTCGTTTGGCCCACTCTCTTCTTCTTGTGCGTTTGGGTGTCGGTACTTCCTTTCCCCGATGCTTCACCTCTGGGTGCTGCCTTGAACTCAAACACCTCATCTTGTCTGCTTCGGGTGACTCTCCTTTCATCACTGAAAGTGAATCCTGCAGGAGCTGGTCTTCGCTCTCACTCCTGTTCTCTCCTCTTGCTCCCTTTCCATCCTTATCATTCGCACACGCACTCTCTTCATTCACACACACATCTACGTTAAGGGGGGTTAATTTAACAGTCCACATTCTGGTTTATTCCCACATCGCGTACGGCTCCACCGGCCAGGGTATACCCTCACCTGTCTGCAGACGGACACGAGACATGACCGCACCGACTACAGCCCGAGCCCCGAGTTCCCCCGGGGAACCGGCTACGCCTCAGGGCGGGGGGAATGCGCGCACCCCGCCACTGGGCCCCAGCCCCTTACTCACCCCCCGAAGGGGGCTTTCGGGGGTTCCGCACCTCCGACTATGCGGACACCGTACGCGCGCTTGCCAAAGCGGGGAGGCCCCTCGGACGGTTGGGGTATCGGCGCAGCCCGCCCACCTTCCACCTTACCCTCCGAGGCGACCAGCAGACACTTCCTAAGCCGCCGGGGCTTCACACGAGCGGCCACCCTTGCGGGTGGAGGCTGACCCGTGCGGGCCCCGGCTAGGGTCGCGAGCCCTGCCTCGAAATACGTTCGAGCGGTACCGCGACCCCCACGTCTCGACCAGCAGGCCCCGCCCGGGAATACGTCCCGACGGCCCTGCCAGTCCCCCGCGTGTGTCGACCCACCCTAATGACTTGCACACCCATACGACACACGCGGGGCTCGCACCAAACCCCCGGACCCTGCCTGGGAGTACGTCCCAGCGGCCCCGAGGGTACCCAGGGGGCCGGGCCCTGCCTCGGAAACGTCCTAGCGGCCCCGACCCCCCGTCTCCGCCGGGCCAACCGGGCGACGCGGGTCCAAGATCCGACGTGTACCCGGGGCCCCGCCCCCCCCCGGAAGGACCGGATGACATCCGACCCAACCGCGGGGGGACTACCGCTTACCCTGCCCGCCGCCACTCCCCCGCCCCCCTCGTGCCAGGCCGCACGCCCCAGCAACGGGACGTCGGCCCCAGACACAGGGGTTGACGGGTTCACGACGATGAGCGGGTGTTGGGTGGCTGACTTGCCACCCAACGCTCCAGACCCCGAGGCCCCGCCTGGGAATAATTCCCAGCGGCCCCCGAGGTCTTCCAGGTGATCGGGCCCCGCCACGGAAACGTCCGAGCGGCCCCGATCCCCGTCTATCTGGCAGCCCACCCGGGCCAGCCCAGGGTCTGCCTCTTCCCACCGGAAGGATCGGACCACGTCCGGTCCAACCGCCGGGAAGCCGTGACTTCCGGCCCACCCTTCGGCCAGGACCACGTCCTGTGTGCCTCCGGGGTCCGGCCCTTCTCCGCCCGCGAACACGTCCACGACGAGCTCGCTGACGGAGGAGCTCCCCTTGCCACCGCCTCCTGCCGGAACACCGACGCGCAATGGATGACGGTGGCCTCCCCCCGAATCCCAGCCGCCTGCCGGAACACCGGCGTGCAATGGCGACTAGGATTCCTGCCCTCTCGCCGGGTTCCCCCCGATCCCTGCCGGAGCACCGACGTGCAATGGGATCGAGGGGGAGACGACCCGGTCCGGTGGGAGGAGCATGCTCCCCCCTAACGGCCCCGGCGGCCAGAGGTTTGAACTCGGGGTACCTCATCCTCTACCGACGAGTGGTCTCAGTTCTGTCTCGACTCGCGTCGAGACAGCCGAGACCGGAGTCGCCGGGCTCCTTGTTTCCCCTTTTCAGGGGAAAGGCAAGCTCTTAGTCGGCGAGCGCCCGTCAACGAAACCGCCGATGCCTAAAGCGGCACACAGCGGCTTCCAGACAGACGCTCGCCTACAGGCCCCCTCACCACGACGGGAGAGGCTCAATTGCGCACAGTACAATTGGACACGATGCAATTGCACACAGTGCTATTGGGCACATAATGTTGCGCACAGTTCTTTTGCGCACAGTTCTTTTGCGCACCGTTCATTTGGACACAGTTCTTGTGCGCACCGTACAATTGGACACCGTTGCTTTTGGACACAGGTTATCGAAATATAATTTAAAACACACAGACACACGCGTATGCATGTAGAGCCCTGTTTGGAAATTTTGCTAATTTATAAATAATAAATCTTTCTAAATCAGCGTTTGTTCAATTGGACAGTTCTTTTACGCACAGTTCAGTGTCGCACAGTTCAGTGTCGCACAGTTCAGTGTCGCACAGTTCAGTGTCGCACAGTTCAGTGTCGCACAGTTC